TCCCAATCTATTAGTAACAGTTTCTTACAATCACAGCTACGTTTGGCTTGATCTTGTAGAAATGTTATCTCCTATTTTGTGATGTGATCTGATCTGATTCGTTTGTAATATATTATTCGTATCGCGGAGGCTGAGATTGTGTTCTGGACTTAACAGGAAGGGCAGGACGGAAAGCAGGCCAATGGGAACTCTAGGTTGATCGTACAGGTGTGTGTCATTAGTTCGGTCGTATAAGTCAGAGTATCTAAATTGGCAATCGTATTTTCGCAATATCGTATAGCTAAGGACATAATAGATAGACTGAATGTAAGTGATATTGGAAATCGTAAACAGACTCCACAGAACTCACTCATAAAACTCATGAGCTTTCTCGCTTCGTTAAACACACCAACTACAACCATTTATCCAATTTCTTTACAAGTTAATTATGACACATATTCTTTCCAATAAATACCGTATCAATCTGATAAGTTACTATAAATTTAAAATCAGGATTCGTCGACAAATATTGGTAGACCGGAACTTGCTGTTGAGAATCAAATAATGTGCACTTCCGTAATCAGAAATTTTATGTGTACAAAAGGTGTCATCAATGCATAACAGTTTCGATAAGTGATTTCATTCTAAACTAGATTCATCCATGTGAATATATGTTGTAAGATTTATTCATTGATGTAAATAGTCAGATAAGTAAGGAATCATCAGTACAGGGTTGTGGAAATTGTTGAGTTTCAATTGAGATTACGAGCCGATCAATGTTAGACCATCATTGGAAACCTGGATGCACTGGATGGGACTCCTTATCAGTGACAATTCATGATCTTGCACGCAGGACCGAAGGTTCTGGGTTCGAGTCCCAGGATCATAACTACACTTGAAGTAGAGAATTGTCAAAATATTTGGAGTTTATTAGACTTCAGACAACTATAGTATTTTACACAATGACTGTGTCGAAAAGGTGGACATTATATCGCTAGGCTTAATTTACTTAGTCAAATAGTCGAATCTAGTTTGTAATCATACCAAAAACCAGCCAGATATTCACTTACTTCTTCGATTAAAAAAAATTAAGACTGCGATTCTAACTAGAAGGCTCATTTTATTTCATTTCATAGTAGCAAACTTTAGAAAAACACTTACATGGTCCTATGCACATCAGTTACATTACCTATACAACACGGTGTTATGTTTCAGTAGTCTGGTTGACGGGCACCAGAATCAAATGTTATTAAATTTAAATACAAAATCGTAAAAATATGTGAGTTTTTTTTACAATGTATACATCAAACTAACATTTAGACTGTTTTCAACGACAGTTAAAAAATTATCTGCAAAACATACTTACAGTATTGGAACTAAATGATGCACCGCAAAAAAACTAGACTATAATTATTATCTGAAGTGACCAATCATTAAAAATATCTTTTTTTAATGTCTATTTCCCCTAAATGCCTGTATATTAGAAAAGAAAGGCAGCCTATTGGATATGCGAACTGCCTCATATATAAAATGCTCTCCACTACTTTAACTGCTCATGGTCACATATGCAAAAGAGAAGTAATTTCAGTTATAAGATTGTCTTTACCTTATGAAGTAAATAAGAATGTAGTTTGTTTTTATAAAGGAAACTCATACATTATAGTATACAATTAATCGAAAATGTTTAAAGACAATATATGGGGAAGAAAAAGCAGGAAATAAATTTGAAATATGACAATAGATTTGATAAATGAAAATATCTTAGTTGATGAAAAACATAATTGTTAATCTTTATTGAAGAGTTCAAGTACACAATTGAGATACGTGTGAAATTAAGGTTCAAAACAAAGATTTATCTAAAGAATGATTCTATCACTACAAAATTCATATAAACTGGTTATAAAAACTCAACTCTTTAGGTAACTATGACAGTTTCTATCAATTTATAAACGTATGGTGTAACTCACGTTTATTCATTGTAGTAATATCCTAAAATATTAACATGAATAAATGAAAATTTACTGGATTTATTTTTGTAATTAGATTCTCTCAACCCTTGTAACAATTATTTCCAGTTTTTGCGTGTTCCTAGCGCAATAGTTTTTTATGTTTGTTAGCTATTAGTCCCCATTTTAAGTGCTAATAGTGACTACTATCTCTTGATATAGCCACTAACTATCATCTATGCTATAGTATGTTGCAAAAAATATTTTCTATATTTTTTTTTATTCCAAACATTAACAAATAGAATAAATCAATACAAAGAAAGTGGGTTGAATGAGAAGAGAAGAAGACAGAGATGGCAAATGAATTGAACGGTAATGTTATCTGGTCGGTATACAGAGAATCCATGAAAGTATTAAGTGGATAGGACAATAACTTTTTCTAAACAGTTTTCGGGGCATAGATCAAATTAAAGGTTCTTCAGATTTATTAACTTTGAGTTAAAAGATGGTCGAACATCTGATGTAATCAAAAATCGTTTAGCGACAGCAATAAAAAGAACATTCTATGCGCCAAAACTGCAAATAACGTTCACTAGTAGAAACTTGTTTTCTGTATCCTTAAAAGATGAGCTTCCTCGTCTGGTCACCTAAATGTGCATCTACTAGTTCACCTGCTCTTGTGGAGCAAGGTACATTGACCGTAGCTAGCGCTCGCTTTTAACTCAGATACTCAAACATGTCCCAGTTTGGTTCTACCAGAGTGAGAGGAAAGCAGTTAGAAGTTCTATACTTGAACATCTAATCAACTGTAATCATTCTAATGGTCCACAGTTTGATTTTAAGGTAGTATAAACGATTGTTCTAAATGTACCTATATTTTTTCATGTCCAACTCCTAAAAATAACCGAAGCTCTTACCATCCATGAATTGAAGCCAGAACTATGCGTAAAAAGGAAGTACGTCCTATCATTATCTTTACCTTGACCTTAATTTGTTATTAATATTACTGCATTTCTCTCTTTACCTATGTCTCATATTTTCATTTTTTTACTCATAATTGCTCATGATATCACTTCATTCATTTCTCATATCTATTACCTTTAATTACCTACAATTATTGTAATTATAATCATTGAAGATAAAACGGTTAATTGAAGATGAAATCCATGAAGTAACGAAGAACAAATGATAGCTTAATTTGAGAAAAATTATGATGGATGGGCAACTCCTACAAAACTTTTTTCTAATTGAGAACGATTATCAAAGAAAGAAATCCTAACGAGATTTTAAAAAGATGAAATAAACATCGCGATATAAATTTATCAAATAAGAATGAAACAATTTAGTAAATTGATATGGACTTGAAACTTCATTACCGAATTAGATTTAAATTCAGAAATTAATATATTTAGATAAGAAGCTCTGATGTATAACAAATATTGAATCAAATATGATAGACAAAGAACAGATGGAAAAAGCCGTTTGAAAACATCGGAATTTTCTATAGATTCCATCATCATCATCATCATCATCATCATCATCATCATCATCATCATCATCATCATCATCATCATCATCATCATCATCATCATCATCATCATCATCATCATCATCATCATCATCATCATCATCATCATCATCATCATCATCATCATCATCATCATCATCATCATCATCATCATCATCATCATCATCATCATCATCATCATCATCATCATCATCATCATCATCATCATCATCATCATCATCATCATCATCATCATCATCATCATCATCATCATCATCATCATCATCATCATCATCATCATCATCATCATCATCATCATCATCATCATCATCATCATCATCATCATCATCATCATCATCATCATCATCATCATCATCATCATCATCATCATCATCATCATCATCATCATCATCATCATCATCATCATCATCATCATCATCATCATCATCATCATCATCATCATCATCATCATCATCATCATCATCATCATCATCATCATCATCATCATCATCATCATCATCATCATCATCATCATCATCATCATCATCATCATCATCATCATCATCATCATCATCATCATGTCTCCGATAGAAATAGTATATTAATTATCTCTAACTATATAATCAACCTCCAGATTTCTTCACTTTCCTGTATGAAAGAAAATCAAATGAATGTTATTTCTTTTTATTTAGAATAAAGTATTCATTTTAAACAAAATGAAAGCGTTTACCATTCAACACAATGATATAATTATTATTAATGACAAATAATATGACTTAGCAAGTAATTAATTATGTCAATATTGTTCTACAAGTAATGTCAATCATTAGGAATAGTGAAAACAAACATTATATTTTGAGAATTTTTCTTTTTCTTTCATGACAATATCCAACATATTTCAATATGAAAAGAGTTTACTTTTCACAAACCTTTATTGATTCACGTGAAAAATAAGACAATGACAATGGAGATGATTAAAATGATGATAGTGATAATAGAAATCATAATGACGATGATTGTGTAAAACAAAATGAAGACGATAATAAGAATAATTTTTTTGCATTTTAAAATTTACTTATTAAATTCTTTTATGAATTCTGCATTGTAGACAGGAACTTGTGCTTGTACTGTATGATATAGTTTGCTTTCCTACTTCTGAAATAATCGACAATGCTATATTAATTAGATTTGCAGTTAATTAATCTGCACAAGTATTATTATTATTGTTAGTGTTAGTATTAGTATTAGTAGTCATAGCAGTAGTATTAATAGTAATAATGATATTCATTGTAGATATAAATGTAAATTTAGTCATTATTATGATGTCACATTAATTGAATGATAAATATTAATGATGATTTAATTGAAATTCATTAATAAATCAAACAAACAAAAATTGACTTGAATTTTCATTTTATTCATTTATAATTTCAAATTAGAATTTCTTCATTTTCTTTTTTTCGTTCTTTCTCTTTTTTTCTCTTTTCCTTTTTTCTCTTTTTCTTTTCTATTTATTATTAAATATAAATTTTAATTCTTGTATATATTTTTTATGAAAAAAATTGTTTTTTTTTGTTTTTAAACAGACACACACAAACAAACAAACAAAGAGATTTATCAACAAGAAGAAGATTTTGTTTCCAATTCAGATGTTGATAAATTTTTTTTTCTTACTAATCATTTGTGATAAAAAATGGATTGTTTTATCATCACATATAATTTTTTTATATTTTTTTCGATTATATGTAAAATAAAATAAAATAAAATCAGTTATTATTGTTGATAAACTAAGTAATGCTAATCCTGAACCAAATTTCATTGTAAATGATAATAAATTAAATTTACCAGCTATACCATTCACTCTTATAATAAATTGTATACCATTGACATGTATTAATATACGTTTACGTTGTTTTATTAATTCTGTATCATAACCATAATATGCAGTACTACGTAAACTGGAACCTTCATGTATTGTAATCACTTCTTCATTATCATCAATAATATCATCATCATCATCATTATCATCAACAGCATTATCATTGTTATATGATTGATATAATTTATAAGTATAATCTAATATTGATTCAGATGAATTCATTATTTTATTATAATTTATTTTATTTGTATTCATTTTTCTTACTTTATGTACACTTTCTAATTCTAAAAATTCATAATTTGGTAAACAATAATTAATATCCCAATCGAAATTACATTGCCAATGTATAGTTATAGCTATAACACCGCCATATTTTAATAAACGATTTGAATTAATTTTAGCTAATTGAAATATATCATATAAACGAAATCTTGGACAATATTTATCAATCGGGTGTGTTGATTGATATAAACAATTTTTTATATAAATTTCTGTCATCCATGATAAGATATTACTACGTTTTATTTTAAATTGTGGAAATTCTATACTATTTTTAATAAATAATGTAAAATTAATCATTTCAAAAAATGGATCTATTAAATGTATAGTACGTTCATTAATTTGTCGTTTATTATCTAAAAAATCTAAATCATTAAAATAATTATAAAAACCTTCTAATATATTTGGTGGTTTTATTAATTGTAATTTAGAATAACGTTGTTTACGTAATTCATATTCATAATCATCACTAGTTGGACACCAACCATAAATTTGACATTTATTATAATGTATTAAACATTTTCCAGTAAATATCCCATGTCCACTTTCATCAATTTCTATATTATTTTCATTTGGTACAATACCATCTGGACCATAAGGTTTATAACCAGCTTGATAACCAATTGGACAATCATTATCATGATAACATATTGCATCGGGTAAACGATCACTTTCACTACATGTTGTCATACTTTGTATAACAAAATGTTTAATCGTTGTAATTAAATAAAAACCAGAATTTTGTGTTGGTTGTAATAAATAATCACCATTATCTAATACAATTATACCATTTGTATCAGGATTTTGATATTTAAATATTTGTTTCCATGCTATACCATATACTTTAACAGCTACACCACTAATAGGACGATCAAATGATTGATAACCTTTTTTTAACCACATGACATAAATAATAAAATAAGTTAATATACCAAATTGTATGAAACGATGTAATATAGCTAATTCCGGTTTACGTATATGTACAACACGTGGCATTTCAAATATAAACATTGTATTAAAGAAAAATAAATTTTAACAATTTTTTTGAAAACAAAAAATGATTATGTAATTATTTCAATTTAAATAGTCTGATTAAATGTGTTTTCTTGTTACTAAGTGATAACTCATTTATTAATGTGTATACATAAGTAAGTAACCAATGGGGAAACTTTTATCTTAAAAACATTTCATCTTTCCCCCCCTCTATTAATTTCTAGTTTACATTATTTTATCTTAATCATTTACATTGTGAATGATTATTTCGTGTAGAATAATTCCTTGTTTAATTGTCTAATTAGTTTTATGAAATGATTAGTAAAAGCTTTGATGTAATTCTTAATGTATCTAACTCATTCTGCCTTAACTCAGCTAGAAAGTGTACTTTTTTGTGAATATTCATACATACCGAATAGTAGTGTGTGTGTGTGTGTTTGTATAATAAAGATTGGATAGTAGTACAAATAACAAAAGATAGTTTACAGTAGTTTACACTATTTACATTAACTTGTTAACAGTAGTTATTTATACTGTTAGTTAAATACTCTATTGTATTTTATGTAATATATTGAATTAGCCATTTATATTCAATTGTATTATAGATGATAAAATCATGTTTATATGCTTTATTCCCATTCTAATTGTTATTATAGATTAATATATGTTGATATTATTGATACAATTAAATTAACAATGATCCCTATACTCTATACTTAATTGTTTATACAATAATAATAATAATAATAATACATTTATCAAATGAATAGAATAATAAAATAATAATTTTCTATATTAACACATTCACTTTGCAATATGAACTGATTTGATCATTTCATAATGATCAATCTAACTGTCATGGAATGATATACCAAATAGGTGTAAAATAATTAGTGATGATTGGAAATAAAGAAACATTAATATTTGTTAGATCATTAACTTATATGATTATTTCAATAGTTGAGATCATGAGTCCAATTGAAGCTAGAACATCATGAAAAATCTGGAAGTACTGGACGGCTATTTCGTCCTATTATGAGACTCCTAAGCAGTGCGCATCCACGACCCCATGATTATTGTGAATATGATTGCTAAATTTAGATACGGGGATTTATATGGACAACAAATGATGTATACAGCTTGAAGCCGCGATTGGTCTTTTTCCTTGCTTGTTAAGTTCAGAACACAAATCTCAGCCTCTGCAATACGAATCATAGATTTTAAACATACTAGGTTTATATACAATCCAAACAGACCACATCACACCATAAAATAGAAAAATAATACATGTACACGATCAAATCAAAAATGGGTGTGATTGTAAGAGATTGTAATTAATAAACTGGGCATAACTTAAGAAGTGTAAATCGTGTAATAATAGTCAGTAAGTCAAATAAAACCTCATAATAAGAGGAATATGAATATACATAGTTTAGTTGATTAACAATTATGCAATA